AGAGAGAAAGAGAGAGAGAAAGAAAGAAAGAAAGAAAGAAAGAAAGAAAGGAAGGAAGGAAGGAAGGAAGGAAGGAAGGAAGGAAGGAAGGAAGGAAGAGAAAAAGAAAGTGCTAGGCACCAGTGGCTCACATTTATAATCCTAGCTACTCAAGAGGCTGAGAATCTCAGTTCTTTCTGAGCAGGAAAGTCTATGAGACTCTTATCTCTAATTAACCAGCAAAAGAGCCAGAAGTAGAGCTGTGGTTCAAGTGGTAGAGTGCCATCCTTGACCAAAACAGCTAAGGAACCAAACCCAGACATTGAGTTCAAGGCCCAAAGCCAGCATTTAAAAAAAAGTCAAGGGAGATCAATTCCAGAAGATACCAAAATTCTCAGATGCTCAGCTCCCTTATGGCATAGAACTTACATACAACCTTCAGACCTCCTGGATACATTACTGTTTTATCAGCACATATTATTTGCATAATGTGAGAGGTTTCACTGTGATATTTTACCCCTTTTATTACTTTTTCTTATCCCCTGCCCCATAACTGTTTTAAAAAAAAAGAAAAGTGAAATGCTTCCTGAATTTTCATGTCATCTTTGAGACTGATGCTAATCTTTCTGTATCATTCTAATTTGCTGTTTAGTTGCTATGCTGTTGGGTTTTTTTGTTTGTTTTTCTTTTTTTGGGGGGGGGTCCGGTCGTGGGGCCTGAACTCTGGGTCTGAGAGCTGTCCCTCAGCTCTTCAGCTCAAGGATAGCGCTCTACCACTTGAGCCATAGCGCTACTTCTGGCTTTTTTCTTTTTGCTTATGTGGTGCTGAGGAATCGAACCCAGGGCCTCAAGCATGCAAGGCAAGCGCTCTACCACTGAGCCACCTTCCCAGCCCTATGCTGTTGTTTAAAAAATACTGGCATATAATTCCAGAACACATTGAATACACGCACATTTTTCCCCTGAATATTTCTAATTTAGGGTTGGTTGAGTCCAAGGGTGTAGAACCCATACACATAGAGAGATGACTGTATCTGGGACCCCATCAGCCCCCCAAGATTGATAACAGAACCCCTGAAGTGCCCATTCATACTCAAAATTTTTATAGAATTTCCCAGAAATACCTTGCTTTCTTAGTAATTACCAAGACATGTAAATAGCCCAATCAGGTTTAGCAGAAGCAGAATTTTGTGGTTACTCAGTATCACTGCCTCTTCCCTTCACAAGAAAAATCTCAAAGGTGTGTTAGGGGTTGGTGAGATTCAGAACTGAGCGGTTCATCTTTCCACTATACTAAAAAAGGACCTCTGGCAGCCTCTGTGGGGACTTTATTCTGAAGTATACATAAAAAGAGTCTAAAAGAAGTAGTTTTCAAAGTGTGATCCTCAACCCAGCAGCATTGGCATCACCTGGGAATTTAGTAGAAATGTAAATTCTCAAATCTCCCAACAAATTCCTTGGATCGGAATAAGTCATTCTAATGCACACGAAGTTTATGAACTACTAAACCATAAAATAATATGCTTCAGAAGATGATCTTTCATATTGAGAATATGTAAAAAAAAAAAAAACCTGAATCTGAAGTTTCATGGTCAAGATATAAGCAAGCCACAGAAAATGAATTTCTGAGTTGGGGGTATAGCTCAGTCAGTGTAGAGTACATACCTCACATACATAAGGCCCTGAGTTCAATCCTTAGCACTGAAAAAGAGAAAGAAAATGAATTTCTGCATACTTATGTAAAACATGTCCTCTCTACAGGGAATAATTTGTGCCAATCAGAAAGGACAAGAAATTAAGCCAGGCTCCATGGGGAAAGGAGTATTACCCTATGATGTCCAGGTAGGTTGAGAAAACATCTAACTGGTTCAACAAAGAAGAATGTTTCAAATGTTTTAATGTTTTTTTATTCAATTAGTTTTCTCTTTCTGAAAAAAATGTAAGAACATAAATTATTTCTTTCATTTTAGATTATAGATGAAAATGGCAATATTTTACCATCTGGCACAGAAGGGGAAATTGCCCTCAGACTAAAGTCCACACGGCCCTTCTGTTTCTTCTCTGAATATGTGGTATGAAAAATGTAGAAAGGGCTAGTAACACTTCAATACAGACATAGATTCAAGGTTCATATCCACCATGTCTTGCTTTATAACAAATGAACAAAGGACAAATCCCACATCATTTTTATCAGCTGCAAAATCAGGAGAATATCATCTATCTCCTGAGAGTAAAGATTACATTCTACAAATAAGAATTTATGTAATGGTTGTCCTGCAAAAGGAAAAGTGGATCAGTTGGGGAGGAAGAGAATACAGGGTCCATAGAGGTCCATAGACCTTTATTGGTTATGTTTAAAAAACAACTATCTTTAAAAGACAATTTTTTGTCAAGTGCTGGTGGCTCACACCTGTAATCCTAGCTACTCAGGAGGCTGAGATCTGAGGATCATGGTTTGAATCCAGCCCTGGCAGGAAAGCCTGTGAGACTCTTATCTCCAATGAACTACCAAGAAAAGCCAGAAGTGCAGAGGTAGCTCAAGTAAAAGAGCCCTCCCCTTGAGCAAAAGAGCTCAAGGACAGTGCCCAGACCCTGAGTTCAAACCCCAGGACCGGCATACTCACACAAAAGAAAGATAATTTCTATTTAAAGTAGGAGGAATAATATGCTAGTCACTTAATGGGTGTCCCACACTGACCTCTAGTCTGTTCAAATGAATCTCCAAATGTCATCTTTGATTCCTAGGATAATCCAGAAAAAACTGCTGCCACCATGAGAGGAGATTTCTATGTCACTGGAGACCGAGGAGTGATGGACAGTGATGGCTATTTTTGGTTTGTTGGAAGAGCTGATGATGTCATTATATCCTCTGGGTTTGTACATTCTTCCACTCTTAGAAAGAAAGAGCAGGTTTCAGAACAGGTGATCTCCTACCTGGGGATTGTGATGATCACAAACTCCTTTTCCTCTGCAGGTACCGCATCGGACCCTTTGAAGTGGAGAGTGCATTGATTGAGCACCCAGCAGTTGTGGAATCAGCTGTTGTCAGTAGTCCAGATCCAATCCGAGGAGAGGTACAATGAATATTTTTAACTAAGGCAGCAATTTCACATTTTCAAGTTGTGTCCTTATTTTACTACAGCAAAAATTAAGGCACACATGTAACACAAATGTATCCCAGGAAATCAATACAAGAAGATGAGGATTGTTTTGGTTGGATAGCAAGTAACAGAACTCAACTCAAACTGACTTGTTATAAAATAATTTTGGGCCAGGCGCCAGTGGCTCACGCCTGTAATCGAAGCTACTCAGGAGGCTGAGATCTGAGAATCGCAGTTCAAAGCCAGCCTGGGCAGGAAAGACCATGAGACTCCTATCTCCAATAAACCACTAGAAAACTGGAAGTGGTGCTGTAGCTCAAGTGGTAGAGCGCTTGCCTTGAGCTGAAGAGCGGAGGGACAGCACCCAGGCCCAGAGTTCAGGTCCCATGACCAGACCCCCCCCCCAAAAAAAAAAAAAGAATCTCTCACATTTATCTGCCAGGGCTCACTTGAAACCATGGTCAGATCTCAGCCTCCTGAGTAGTTAGGATTACAGGCATGAGCCACTGGCATCCAGCTGTATTGTTGTACTTCCGTTTAGAGCAAATCTTGTAAAATATCTGAAGCTTGGATTTTTTAAATTATTTGTTATTCAAGAGTAATTAAATGAAATTTTATCTTTCCTTTTTAAAACCATGCACATAATTTTTAAAATGTAATTTGACATTTTATGACTTGTGTGGTATAAACATTGGTAAAAGGAAGAAAACAACATACAATACCAATCTTTACAGAAAACATTTATCTTAGTTTTTAAAAATAATGGGCTGGGAAGGTGGCTCAGTGGTTAGAGCGCTTGCCTTGCATGCATGAGGCCCTGGGTTCAATTCCTCAGCACCACATAAGCAAAAAGAAAAAAGCTGGAAGTGGTGCTGTGGCTCAA